CTCGGGGTACTGAGGCTGGGAAGGCGGACCCGAGTAAGGTCTCCAACTACAGAGGGGCTACCGTTGAGGAGTACCGAAAGGCTGCTCAGGAATACGTGTACAGCGGGGAGGGAGATGATCGAAGGATCCTTCCACGAACACTCCGATAAACATGGAGAAGTCGCTGCCGGCCGAGGTAGCGCTCTTGATTCCGAGAGCAGTGGCTACGCAGGAGGAGGCTGAGGAAGCCGAGAGGGCCGCGATGGAGGCCGTCCGCGGAGACTATAGGCTTCCGGACGTTGGCCAAGAAGACAGGGAGAATGTTGACCCTCACACCGTGACGGATGAAGACTTGGCTGCGTCGATAGACGCGTTGACTAGGAGGTTGAGCAACATGCCTGAGTGGTCGGGCAATCTGATCGACCCTGTGAAGTCTGCTGAGCTAGTCGCGGCGAGATGGGGCGGTAAGGCGAGTTATGACAAGCCTGAGGCTCCCCTGACTGAGGCTGGGATGAAGAGTGCGTCCTTGGAGGATCGTGCCTACGCCCTGTCACAGCTGAATCAGATGGTGAACTTCCACAAGAAGCACCTTTGCTCTGGGCGAGGGGCGCCTATGGTGAGTGCAGCTGCCCCTAGTGGCCCCCTTGCTCCTGACCAGCTGGATGATAGCAGGAAGTTCAGGCCTAGTGCGGCGGCGAGCAAGATGACCTACAATCTTGTGATAATGGATGGGAAGGAGGATTTTCTTGCCGATAGGCGAGAGATCAATCCCGAGCTAAGGGAAACGGGAGTTATCCCTGACGAAGCTGTCACATGTCAGATGGTGGTCCCCTCGAAGACGAGGTTAGGCAAATACCTCCCGAACTTCGAAGAGACCGTGGGCACCGTTGCAGGACGGGAGGCGGCGAAGGAGTTGATGAGACTGCTCTCGTGCGACTTTGACGGTTTGGTCATCAATTCAAAGAGAGTCTCGGAGTTATTCGAGGAACGTGTGCTGAAGGAGATCGGACGTGAGGCTGGAAACTGGGTGAAGAGTGACCAGGCCATCTGGTTCCTGAGGGAGATCTCGGGCATGGAGAACGCTGAGATGTCCTGGAGGTTCTTCATTCCAACGCTCAAAGCTTTCCCGATGGGGCAAGTTGAAGCGATGCTCATGGTCATGTACGACGGGGATGGCGTTCTTCTCAAGGAGAGCACCAGATTAATTGCCGTTAGGCACACGCGGATCGGGCGGGACTTGAGTTACAGTGCCGTTAGGCATAGGTACACTCAGGAAGATGCCCCTGGCGGGTCTCTGATGTACGAGATGCATTGGAATGAACTCCCCATGGTGGGATACGTCATCATGAAGTTCTCGGACTTCCGGAAGGCTGTTCAGCTCCAAAGGGTGAGGCGAAACGGGAAGGCCATGATCGAGGTATTGATCACAAGGCCCGATGTGTACGAAACCATTGGTGATGGAAGACAGGATGAGGGCCTGATCCCACTTGTGGGAGCAATGGCGCCGGATGCCGAAGTATCGCCTTCGTGGTATGTCAGGGACAGGCTGCGGAACTACTCCGGTAGGCACGTGGTGGTAATGGTGGACCTTCGGGTGCACTGGTCTTTGGTTGGACCTGTGTATCTGACAAGGAGGAAGACTCTTGCCGTTAGGAACGAGATCCACATGGGAGCTTGGAAGGCGGCATACATGTACGATGATTACACGATAGTGTACCATCGGACATGGGACTATGGCGACTTCACCCCCGTTAGGGGAGAGCACAGGCGATCGCGGGAAGAGATCAGGCTGGATGTGACTGCCACGTTCTGCCTGAGGTGCGCAGAGTTGATGCCGAATGGGATGCACTTGTGTCCCGGGTGTGCGCTCCCGGTCTTTTACCCGAACTTTATCCCCAACGCGGAGGAAAAGGACTTCGAAAGGTGTCGCATCGTGCCGGAGTGGGTGAGGACCATGGGGCAGTTCAAGCCCAGGAGGATTCCCTCCGATGTGGTCGGAGTCATCAAGAGGAACTTGATTTCCTATTCGATGGCATCCGATCTGAGGTTGACGGTGCAGAGCGGCATCAGACTTCCCCCTTATCTTGGTGAAGACAAGGGAGGTGTCGATGCGGCGTGGGATGAGCTGGCGAAGGTGCTCTTCCAATTTTCCTATGTGTCGGGGATATCGGCCTCGGATGTGTTTGTGGAGAAGTGGGTGGCGAAGCACCTGATTAAGACCAACCAAGTCGATAGATTTGAGTCGGTCACGGAGTACTTCCGGGCCAACCCAAGACATGCTGCTCAGTGGGGTAGGCGTATGACGACTTCCGTTAGGAAGTTCGCTCGCCATGACACGTACTTGTCCTTCTATATCCCGATGGCATACGTGATTGGCTCTGCGGCTGGTCATCTGACCCCATTGTATCCGACCCATCGGAAGGATGTGGACATCCTGGAGAGCCATGCATTGATTTCGAAGCTCAGGCAGTACATGGTGTCGGACACGGGGTACGATGAGAAGAAGAGGTTGAAGGAGGCGGTAGCCAAGGTGCAGAAGGCGATCGATGCCGGCCAGTCGGAGCCTCCCGCACCATTCCGTGACCCGTTCGTCTACGTTAGTGACGAGAGGGTGAGGACGGTTCTTGATGGTCGTCAACCTGAACCGCTAAACGTGGACATCGAGGGACTTCAATCGGTGCATCATGCTGCACCAGGTCCTGGTCCCAAGCAGGAGCCGGTCATCAAGGGCGGAAAAGGGAAGAAAGGGGAGAAGGGCGGTAAGGGCGGTAGCCCTTCCGGCCCACCACCAAAGTCAGGTGGAGTGACAAGTACAGGAGCTGGCAAGGGCGGTAGCCCATCTGTCCCGAAGGCAAAAGCAAAGGACGATGCTGGACCAGCTCCGATGGAGGTTGATGCAACTGCAGCTCAACCGAAGAAGACCTGGGTCGAAATGGCGGTTCAGGGAGCCCGGCCGAGTGCGAAGGCCAAAATGAACCCGGTTCCGAAGACCGAGACAAAAGGGAAGGCCGCTTCAGTAGCTGAGGCGAAGGATGCTCCGGCTCCGAAGGCTAAGGCTGCGGTGACGAAGCAGGCCGAACCGAAGGTTGAGGTCAAGAAGGAGAAGATGAGCGGAGTAGACGCTTCCGGCGGTAGCCGGGGGTCGGCTGAAGGGCAAAAGAGAGAAAGGAGGTCCCGTTGGGATCCCGACGAGACTGTGAAGGAGTCGACGAAGCGGGAGGCATCAACAAGGCCTGATGACGTCGACAGCAGACCAGGTGCGGCGGCGAGAGAGGCCAGTGGGGATGATCTTCACTCCGCGCTTGGTAGATCTTCGGCAAAGGATGCAGTAGCACCTTTGACGGCCTCCAAGGCGATGGCAAAGAAGCCTGAAGGCGGGGAGATCCGGTTGCAGTCTGCTGAGCGAACTGCGGCGAGCCCGGTGGAGGGTCACTTCCTGGTGCTGCCTGAGAGTTCGGTGGTGGATGCTCTCTTGTCGATCTCCACCAACAGGGTGCTGAACAAGCAAGTCAGGGATTTCATCAGAAATGGTGAGGATGCGTCAGCACTGGAGGCCCTCAACCAGATCGTGACGAACTCTCGTTCTGGGAGGAGGCGTAGGGAATCGGATGTTTCCCGTACTCCCTCTCGGAGGTCCGTTAGGACCGTGGACACCAGGGATTCCAGAGAGTCGAGAAGGCGCAGATACCGTCCACGGCGCGAGGATGATCGTGACCGGAGGAGGGACGATGCTCGTGATCGTCGAGATGATGAATCACTCGATCGGGAGCGAGATCGAAGGCGAGATGATCGCAGGAGGTCCGAAAGGGATCGTGACAGGGACCGTGCGCGGGGCGGGCGTGACCGGAGGAGACGTGACGATAGCCGGTAGGCTGAGTCACGAGGATTGCGGCCGGTAGGCTTGCGTCCATTCTCCAATGGTCGGCGCGGTGCGGAGGTGGTGTTGTTCCTCCCGGACCGCTGAGGCGCGGAGGTCATGTCACTCCTGTACCGCTGCTGGGCTGCTGGACGTGTTCATCAGGAAGCAGTGTGAGTGAGAGGGAAAGCAAACTGATGGGGGGTTACTCCCGGGTTTGCGGAATTCAAGCATTTTTCAGGTACGCATGGTCAGGAGCACCTCTTGCCGTTAGGCGAGGGTGCTGAATGGACATACGTTATCTTCTTTTTCATGGCTTCTGATAAGAATTAAACTTCTTGCATTGTTGATGCAAACAGTTGTGACCTAGTGTCGTCATGTGGACTTTTCCACAAGGTATGTTGGACAGCGTTACCCCGATTAATTCGGGGTGGTGGCGGGAATTTAATGCCCGGGATGTCGCGCAACTGCCTTTGTGGGTTTGCTCCACCGCTGACGGCGGTAGTGTCCAGCTGTTTGCGGACGCATGCGAGCAGTTAAATCCTATCAGTAAATGGCACGCTCCACCCGTCATATGACGGGCTCCTCGTGAGGGGGGTGTGATTAGCCATGGTTTATATCATCATCAGGGACGTCGCGTTAGTGACCGACCTGTGGTGTTTTGGCTCAAGTTTTTGGATCCGGCGCGCCTCGGATGAGCGTCGCCGGGCCCTCACGTCGACTGCCTTCGTGTCGGAGGAGAAAGAGACTTCGGCCCGGGGTAGGTTGGTGGGGATCGCCCGTGCGGTTCATCGTCGATCTAGGTTGCGGGTATCCTTTTCTTCTTTGGTTAATTTCCCTTTTGGTTGTTGTTCTCTGGTGTGTGGGAAACCCTGATCTTTGGGACCGGGGATTGGTTTGCTTTTGGGGAACCTTTCTTTTGTGGCTTGTTTACCCCAACTTACCCATTGCCTGGGCACAGGCTCGTGCCCGAATCACATTATATGATCATTGCAATTTGGGAGACTTGATTTAGGTTTTTGAATGCGCTTCATTGTTTTTTTTGTGGATTCACTTGTAGGCTTGTTTCATGCTCTGGTGGCACTTGCTGGCTTCCACCGATCGGTTGGAGCAGGCGCAAAACAAATTTAGTTCGGCTCTGTCGCCCTTTGCATTTTTGCGCAAGGACAATAAACCAAGAAGGCGGTTCGTATCCTCACGCACGAAGACCATGATGCTCCTTGAATTCAAATGGGAGCGCTTGCATTCTTGCACTTGGGGATGTGTAGAAGCCACCTGTTCCGTCCCGCACTTCAATTAACCAAGAAGACAGAGGTTAGCCGAGTGATACGAGTAGTTCAAATGATGCGAGTTAGTAGATTCGGTCAACGTTTTGGTGGTGTTGGTTTTGGGAGAGGCCGAGACCCCTCGCAACAGGATTCGACCTCGAAATGGGTAGAGGTCCCTTGTCGGAGAATTCAAATGCACCCAAAATGCTCTCCAGCCTGAAGAGCCCACATGCAAATAGTCCATAGACTGGATCAGGACGCTCGCAAGTCCAACATGGGCAGTCGCAAAGACGGTCTTCACGGACCCCAGTCTTTTAGCTTAGAATCTTCTTAGGCGCTCTCCGACAGCTTCCCCAAACTCAGTGCAGCAGCATCAGCAGCAGGCAGCACCAGCACCACCACCACGGCAGCATAACCACCAGCGCCACCAGCGCCACCAGCGTCCAGCACCACCAACATTGTTGACATCACTCGCATCACCGGCATCACCAGCACTGCCAGCAGTATCATCACCTTCAACATGTCTGGCATCACCAGCATCTCCAGCATCACAATTATAACTAGCATGGCCAGCTGTTCCACATCACCATCAGCATTTCCCGCAGCAACATCATAAATGGTGCGCTCATGACAATCGAGCCTCACATGGTGAACCCCAGCGAGCAGTGTTTGGGCCCTAATTGCATGCAAACGCCATGGCCGTGCACCCAAACGGACCATGGTTTTCCTCCCTGGAAATTGGGCCCATCCGGTGTGGTTTCAGAGCTCTACTTGATGTTCAAGGTGATTTTGACTCAAGGTTTGCTGTCTGAATCTATCGCCAACATGCCAGTTTGCGCCAACATGCCTGACTTGCAGCCAGTGATGGGTTTGGGTGAAGTACCGGTGCACCATCGTTTTCAGAGGCGTCTCCTTTTTGAGGACACGTCTACCAGACTTCTACCCATAAGCATGCAAATCGTTTTCGATTTGCATTTTCCTCCACGACAAGACCCCTTTTTGAGTTCCTTCTGCCAATTTGCAGGGAAGCATTCCTTCCAAAAGCAAAGATGAATCTGAAAGGGAGCCCGACCAATTCCTTCAGGGGACCCTTTTTCAGGCATCCTTCAGAGGATGTCTACTCCAGCTCCACCTTGTGTACAGTCGACTCAGGTTCCATGCTGGTATGGCTCAAACATTTTTTGCGCCACCAATCACAGGTTTTAGCCCCTTCCATTTGCCGACCGGGCAACCCATGAAACCCAGTTTCGGGTTACCAATTGACCCCCGCTGCCATGTTTGCTTCAAAGGTTGCGGAGCCCCATCGACGTGCGGGATCTGAGCTTCAGGTTGCGGCCCGGCAATGGATCGGAGTGGATCTCGGGGGAAAGGAGGGAAGCGGGCAAGGCAACGTGGAATCCCCAAAGATGGCAATCCCCAAAATGGCCACGAAAAGGTATACTTGAGTAAACGGAGCCAAAGACTAAGACCCGCGGTTTGCCCTAGTGGATTTTCAGCCGCCGCCAAAGACTTGCTCACTTGGTTCGGCTTCTAAGGAAGAGGCATGGTTTGCCATTTTGGATTTGGAGCTACCGGGGTTAACTCCACTTCGGGGAGCTCGTACCATCTTTTCGACAGATACCCAGGAAGAAAAAATCACTGTTGGGTGAAAGTGGATGGCTCACCTCACAAAAGGGACTCGCATCACGAAAGAATTTGCGGAGGGATTCCATGCGGATATGACCCAATGTCACCATCAAAGGATGATTAGACAGTGCTGCTTCCTCACATGGGTAGATGAGAGGGGAGTCATATTGCACCTACCAGGTTTTGATCGACTCAGGTTGAGTTTAAACAAATAGAGAGTTGGCCGTTCGGAAGGCGATCTGAGGATTTTCGGCGAAACGTGGGGTGACCTCAAGCGATGGGCAGGGTTTTGAGGCGAGAAGCGAGGGGTTTTCAGGCGAGGAAGGCTGGAGACACCAAAAAATCCAAAAAGCCATGAGCCGAAAGTTTCATTCGAACTTCCCCTCCGCGACGCTGGGCTTTCTTTGCCGTGAGGCAGACCTTCCCCTTCTTCTCCAACTCCCACCGGGACTTCCTCTCCTTACTCTCCCGAGAGCTCCTTGGCCCGGTTTTTCGTGGAAAGTTGTGATGGAAGTGGAAAGGGCGGGTGGTTTGATGCTTCCAATTCTCTGCGAATTGGGCATGTCTTTTGGTTGATTGGCGCAAGGAAACAAACATGGCTTGCCCGCCGCCATTTTGAGATAAACCCAATTGAAGTTTTACACCGTCCTTTTGAGCCACCCCACCTTTGCACTCTCACTTGGCATTTTCATGTCAGCGTACCCTGCAAATTAAACGTGGAAGGAACCTCCAACACCCTTCACGTCCACAGAGCGCGGCCACAGTACCGAGAGACGTCAAAGACTGCGAGGAGCGAAAACAAACGGCAGCTGCGAGCCGCCAGCGCGATGGGCGGGAAGAAAAGCGGGCGCGTTCACGGATCGCAAGAATAAGCGCAGAAAAACACGCGAGTCAACCCGATTTCTGGGCGTACCGAAATCAACAAGTGCGAACAAATGGCCCGTTTTAGACAACTCTCGAGCACACAACACACATTGATGCACCAAAAACACGCAGTCGGAAAGTGCCCCATTCTCGTGATTTCCAGACAACGCCGTGTTATTTCGTACGATTTTAGGCCATACACGTGTAAGCCCAGGTCTTCTTTTTGGTTCCATGAACAGGACTTGTTTCACGTTTCAGGCTGGACATCCGAATCTTCCATCCGGGTCAGACGGTTCTACGAGAAGGCGAGTATGGAGAGATGACCTACATTTTGGTCCATGGAGAGGCGTGGCTTGGACGCCGCCCCAGTTTGGGACTCGATTGATTTTCCGCTCAGAAACGGAGGGAGACAGGTTTTAGAGAGACGCCGGGTTTGAACCACCCATGAGGAAAACCATCGTTCCTGCTTGGAAAAGAGGGCATGACGTTTCGGGTTTGGGCCCTTGTTGTTGGTTTGCGGACTCCGGGACCGGTGTTTTTGCTTGATGTTTCAGGAACATGCAGGGATATACATTGCAACACTGAGGATCTTCGACGGAGAAGCTCTCTTTGATTTCTGTGCTTTCCTCAAAGCACAAGGGAAACTGAAGGTCGAACAAGGATTTTTCCCTGCATGACCGCTGCCAGGTGGAGGTGGTTACCGAGTCCATGTCGGAGGCAGGCGACCGAAGAACGGGGAGGGGGGGGGGGGGGGTGCACCTGGCTCCATCCCTGCATCCCCCCTGCACGTTTGTTTGTCACTTTTCCGATGCAATTACTAAAACACCCCATTTGCAACACCGAACATCAATCCACAAGAACAGGATCCTTAGAACACCACAGTATTACAGTATTATCCCCGCAGTTCCCTTTTTCCTCCGTCTCAACCTCCGTCCTACACTTACTCAACGTGGTACATGCCAATTTAAACAACATACCAACGAGTTTCCATTCCCAATCTCAACCTACCCAAAACCTCAATTATTCCTTGCATGATCTAGAGATCCTTACCCAGAAACACCACATATGGCTGTGGCTCAAACACATGTACGAAAATGACAACTTGGTATACCTTGGTAAGTGAAACCAAAAACTAAACCTAGTTCTTTTAATTTTGAGCCACACTCATATGCGGCAGACTGAAAGGATGAGGCTTGGTCAAATCCCCTTGCCACAAATCCCCGCGCCAGACCCATCCGCCCATCCGCATGCGGGCGCCCAGCATCTTCGGGGAGAGCCCTCTGCTGATCGGGGCACCGGCGAGGCGTTTTCGGTGGCGTTGTCGGTGGGTGGAAAAGGGCTCCCTAAACAAAGCACACACCCATTGTTGAGGGTATCTTGAAGATCAGGTGGGTTTGAAGGGTGATGACCCCCAGCCAGCCCTTTCCAGCTCGTTGTCCGCTTTGGCTTCGGACTCGCCAGATTTTAGTCCGCTCAGGGGAGCCAACAGAAGACGTCCCCAGACGTGCGGTTTCGGTAGGTTTCAGGTGAATTGTTTTTTAGGGGGTTGCTTGTGGTTTGGGTTGGAGGATGACCTGAACCCCAAGTGAAATGCCCCCAAACCTCCTCGGCCAATCGCCAACTTGAGTTAAGCTGCTTGTTTGAGTATTGGAAGTGGTGCTGCCCCCAAAACTCCAAACCACGCAAAATCGCCCATTCGACTGATTTGATGATTGGACACGGATGGTTTGCACTCCATTTAATCCGATGCCCCAAACCCGTGAGGTTGGGGCCCCAATCCGCATTCACTTGGATCAACCGCATTGGGAGATGGGTCCCTCATGTCCACAAGTGGACTCAAACGTCCACCAAAATGGGCTCTGGGGTTTTGGTGGTGCTTCGTGTGCCAGCTCACTGACTGACGCGAGAGGGAGGACTCCAACCCGCCTTTGCCGAAGTCAGGCGGACTGCCACGGTCATCGCCCGAGCTCTGGGCCTAGAGCTGACGTCGCTGGAGGGGGAGGTCCGCAAGGGCGGCCTCCACTCGAAAGCTCTGCGTTCTGGGAAGTGAAGCTCCGCTTTTCGGTGCTTCGGAGTGGGTTTCAGGGAGGCCCTGCTTCGGAGTGGGTTCAAGAGGAGGGCTCCGCGACCTTTTTTCGGATACCACCCGGGCTGCTTTGGGTGTGTGTTCCTTGAGTTCATTTTCAGTTGGGGTCGGGGACAAAAGGACCTCCACTTTGGGGGCCCGATTTATGCCTCAAAGTGCTCGGCTCCTCATTTTTGGTGGACTTAAAGGGAAACAACACTGGACACCAAAAACCATAAGATCTGATGTGCGGGCGGAGCGATCTCATGTTCGGCTCCATGATGGTCCTTTGGTGAGGGGTATCTTGCAGTGAAACAGGGGAAAGGCGCGGGGGTGGGTTTTTAGTTTAAACCCACAGATCTAAGGAAGAGGCGATACAGCATAGGCCGGGAGATTGGGAGAAAAAGGATAGCCACAGCACATACTTACTTTTCCCTGACAGCAAATAGTAGACAATATATTTCTTGACCTACCGTTGAACTCTTGTTCCAGGACGGGTGACTGTAAGTGGATGGCGAGTTGGTGAAAAACGGCGCAAGCGGGCTTTTCGTCTCACGGGGACTCCCTGGAGGATCTCGGCCGGGACCGGGTCACCTTCTTATAATCCACCAACAAGGGCGTCACGAGCCAAACTATGATTTGTGCAAATGGGTTTGGGAAATCCGAAAGAGACCAATTTTGTGGAAGGATTACTGCGCTACACATGATGACGGAACCCACAAAGAGGAAAAACTCTTTTTTGGGGACCTGTCAGCTTCCATGTAGCACCCCGAGTTTGGAGACCGTGCCCATATGATTTGTGCTCATTTGGAGTCACTAGGGCCCACTTCTGCCGGTGGATGACAGATGCCGACGGTAGGCCCAACTTGCAACAGGTCTTGCAAGAAACCCGGGCAGCCTCCCCTAGCCAACACCATGGTCCTGCCGATTCGGTCTGGAAAAGTAACAGCACTTCTCTTCTTGGATGGTCAACCCACTTAAGAAGGTTAGAACAAGAACAGAAACGTGTGGACTCGTAAGCGTCTATTCTGCCAACTACTGGGTACTGGGGTTAAGTCGTAGCATCGTGTGTTAAGGCGTGGCGGCTGAGCGTTTGTCGTTGGGTAAACCATGTAGCCGGGCATCAGCTTAAAGAGATATGCAATAATACTAACAATACATTCGAATGTCCAAACAGAGCTCTGAAAGGCTCCTGACATGCGCAGTTCCTTGCTGTTAACAGCTTGCCATTTGCAGAACAACGTGAACGCGCCGGCGCCTTTCGTGTGTTTTGTAGGGTTTGAAACTTGCGCGGTTTTGAAAGCATGGCCAATATGATTCGAAAATTTGTTGCACATGAAGATGATTCAAAATATGTTGCGCGCCGTTGTGAAACCCCTTTCATGTTACTTGAAAGCACCTTCCTGGTTGTAGCGTTTCCAGTGTGCTTCATCTCTGCTTTGCGCAACAAAAGCACAGAACACCCAATGCATTTCCGTGCAGTTCCACAGTAACTCCCCTTTTGATGTCACCTCGAAGTACTCGCTTGCACCTAGCGTTTACAATGTGTTTGCGTGAAAATGCTGTGACTTAAAGCGTCCTGCTAGGACTTAACGTGATCAGAGCGTTTCCAAGCGACTGCAAGGACTTAACTCAAGATGCAAGGACTTAACCCGACCACTTGTAGCTTCTTCAGGCAATTTTGGTTCTTTTGGTTTCGTTGCTGCAAACCGACCGCCTCACCTGCTCGCGGATGAGGGAATGCGTCATTAGGCCATTTGCGATGTGCGCATGGTGCACCAGCGGATCTTCAATCAGCTGCGCCGCGGCCGCAATGCGACTTTGGGGCCTCGGCTAGGGTTGAGGGAATTGGACGGGAGGTTCCGCTGGCGGAAGGGCCTGAAAAATGAGCTGCCTTGAGACCTGGTGCTTGTCCATGAGGATTTGAGGAGACCGGCAAGTTGGCTGGTCGAGAGCCTGTCTCAACAGAAGCCTCTTGAGGTTGAGCCACTTCCCCAGCGAGCGGCTTGTCTACCGGAAGATGGCGAAAGAGCGCTACGGCAAGAGGCCGGGAGCTGAACACCCTCTCGAAGGTTTTTTTGAAGGACATCCCAACGCGAAACTGCTTGTCAAGAGAGGGGGGCTCCTGCATTTTGAGGCAGATACGCGGGTGAATGAATTACAATTCACGCAGAAGATGCGAGGAACACTTCTTTTTACATGGTTGATCCTGAAGGAGGAATCACTTGAGTCACCTTGCTGGTTTCGGGTGTTTCCGAAATTGGTGACCCCATTTGATTGGCTTTGAAAGGAACACATCGACGCCAACCAAATTTACAGCCCCCCCTTTGGGTTGGTTGTTGAAACAAAGCTACTTTGAGGAAGCGCCCTTTGGGTTGGTCCCCTACTTTTGGAAGAGAGGCCAGCGCCCGCGCTACAAGATACATTTTTGTTTGCTTTTTCTACTTCTCCCGACGGCAACCATGCATGCGGCGCTAGCGCTGCTTCAGTTTGGAAACACCACCACAAAAAGCAGCCTTCCAAATTGACTATTGGTGTTTGGGGGTCGCGTCCAACCGGCCCCATGATTTTGCCTTACCAAAGTCACCCCCTCGCTGGAGGGAAATTCATGAACCAGTGGACCAGTTTCCGACTTTGACCAGAAACGGCGACAACCCCCAAACCCTAGTCCAGGGAAACTTGGCGACACCCCGGACCCTCGTTGAAACGCGCACCTCCAAAACCACAGGCGGAGACCTCGACGAGGCGCCTCCATTTCCTCCACCGACTCCAAGGACCCGATTCCGGTCGCGGAATGAATCGAGCGAGGTTCACCATGAACCACTTGCGCTAAGATTGGTTTCCAGCCATCCGTTTTGTTTAGATCGTTTTTGTTGGTTTCGTGGTTGGGTTTCCGTATTTAACCCACTACAAGTTGAACTTGCAGCAGCCAGTAAAGAATCTAAAGATGAGGGTTCCTCAAGGATTCTTGGGGTTTTGGTGTTGGGCCTCCAGAAGGACAGAGCCTTTTGCGGGGGGCTAGGCTGATTTGTGGTGGAACAGGTGGACCATTTTTTAAATGGAGGGCATTTTTTTTTAAGGATTTTGTTTTTGTTTTTCAGGGTGGGTGGCTTTTCGGCTTTTTGGCTTTTGTGGCTTTTACGTGGGTTTTTGTGGCTTTTACGTGGGTTTACGTGGGTTTTTGCGGCTTTTCATGTCGCATCCTCTGCATTCACAGTTCCTCTCTGTTTGTCTTTGTGGGTTCATGCGGCTTTTGCGGCTTTGGCTTTTCGCTTGTATTCCAACAAGTTTCAAATTGAGTAAAAACGAGAAGAACATGAAGATTGATAAAAATAAAGACAGTATACATCTGGAAACGGATGTTCATAATATAACTTTTAAATGGGGAAGGCATACATCACCATCCGATAATGGTGAAAATGAAACACAGGAAGCTATTCGTGAAATGATGAAAAAATAACATATAAAGAGTAGATTTAACACCACTTCAAACGCATAAATCAATAAATAATTATATAAATAATTATATATAAAAATGTCAGAAAATGGTGATTCTACAATTAACGATTTAATGAAAAAGATTATAATTATTAGTAAGAATATTAAAACATTAACTGAGCTTATTAAGAATATTGGTGAAACAATAAACCAACCTAAAAGAAATAACGTATTCAATAACGAAGACGATAAGGAGAAGATGGATAAAATCTTTGAAAAGAAAGGATTAGGACGTCCGAAAGGTCTTTTGAAGACAAACAAAAACAATATGTGGAAATGTTAAACAAAGGGCGTATTAAACAACCAAAATCTGAAACATTAGAATATTACAAACTGTTTAAGAACGAAGAAGGAAAATACGAGATTGTCTGAAAATTAAATCTGAATAATTCTAATAATATGAATTTATTAGAATTATTCAGTGGCACAGGCAGTGTTGGTAAAATTGCGAGAGATTTAGGTTTTAATGTAATATCGTTGGATTTAAAAAATGCTGATATTCATTGTGATATACTTGAATGGGATTATAAACAGTTTGACAGAAATCATTTTCAATGTATTTGGGCATCGCCACCTTGCACGGAATACAGCAAAGCAAAAACAACAGGAATAAGAAACATTGAATATGCGAATAGTATTGTATTAACAACATTAGAGATAATTGACTATTTCGGTTTTCCGTATTTTGTTATTGAAAATCCACAGACAGGACTATTGAAAAGTCAGTCTTTTATGAATGGGTGAAGGTTTAATGACATTGACTATTGCAAATATGGATTTAATTACAGGAAGCGAACGGGGTTGTGGAGCAATCTAACAAACTGGAAACCGAGAGCATTATGTAAAAAAGACTGTGGTAAAGTTGTTAATAATAAACATATTGAAACTGCGCAACGGATGCCACCCGGTCGTAAGGAAAATTGGGGCGAGAATTATGTAAAGCATAAGCAAGAAGATTTATACAAAATCCCGAGTGAGTTGACTAGTGAGATACTGGTTAGTTTATATTTAAAAAAAAAACTTAAAGAAATTTCCCCTATATATAATAGTGAACTAATGACTACATTAAAATGCGGTTGTACAATTATAGGGAACAATTTAGATTTTGAAAACGAAGTTAACCATGATAGAGATAGAATGAGTTATTACCATAAACATTGTATGAATATTTGTGGAGAATGTTGTAAGAAATCAGATATATTTAATGATTTGGAAAAAATAAGTTAGACATTGAAAAGGAACAATTTGTTTTAATATGTATTGGAAAGTTATGGGAAAATGATTTAACTTTTGATGATATTATTGAAGAAGATAAAAGTTAAAATACTCCTTAACATTTATTCATAAATATTAAGAATTATTATATTCTAGTCTTTTTAAATAATCAATAGATTATCAAAAGATGAGGTTTTACATAAACTTTATTACAATGTTGAAACTGGGTTCAGTTCAGTCAATGAGTTATACAAACAAGCAAATAAAGAAGGTCTGGGTATAACATTAGATGAAGTTAGGACATTTATGAAAAAACAACCTATCAAGCAGGAGAAAGGATACAGTAAATACAACAGTTTTTCAGCACCTTTCGCAAGATATGAATACCAGTTAGACATAATGGATATGATTTCACTGATGAAGGCAACGGGCACATCAGATTTAAGCAGTCCAAGATATGGATTAATATGTATAGATATATTCAGTAAGAAACTACACATTGAACCGATGAAGGTTAGAGACGGTGAGACTGTTTATAAAGCAATACTTCAATGCTTCAAAGTATTAGGTCATCCGATGAGTATTTATACAGATGATGACGGGGCATTCGCATATAAGAAATTACAAGAGTATTTAAAAGGTGAAGCAATAAGAAGCATCATAACACTGACACACGCTAATGTTGCTGAACGCTCCATTCGCACAGTTAAAAAGATGTTGGGAGACAGAATAAAAGCGACTGATAGAACTTGGACGAGTTTATTGCAAGCAGTCTTAAACAAGTATAGTCAACAAATGACGCACGGGACGACAAAACTTACACCTAATGAAGCACACAAAGACGAAAACGCAGTGGAAGCGAAGGCGAACTCATAAATGATAGAGAAATATTTACGGAAGTATCCTAAATTAAATGTCGGTGATAAAGTCAAAATTTTTTTAACAAAGGAAAAGGTAATTACACATCAAGAAAAGAAACCACTTCAAAATGGAGTCAATCAACATACAAAATAACAAATGTAGGTCGTGATATGATGCTTAATAAGTATTATGAAATTGAAGGGAATACCAAGAAATATAACAGACACGAATTACTCTTAAACAATGAATAACATTATTTTAAGATAATGTTATCAATTTGTATTAGTTAAATATTTATAACATACTTTCTCAACAGCATTCTGATAAGCTCTTTCTCTATGAATTCTTTTACATTTGTCAGTCCTTAAGTGCTTTGCCATATTAGACTTACTTTTAATCATACATCCGCATCTTTCACATTCTAATGCCGTATCATTTTCTATAAAACACTCTTTAAAGTATCCTTCTTCTTTATATTTCTTGTTTAATACATTGTTATATTTTTGTCTTACTTTCTTTTTCCTTTGCCTTCTTAATTTCTTCCTCTGTATCCGTGCTGAAGTGTGAAACTTCACCTTCAATAGAATTCCACAACAAATCAAATTCATCATTTGTCATATAAATGTTATTTTTATTGCCATCTACAATAAAGCAGGTCATTTTACTTAATATATAATATAATTATTTCTTTAAGTATATTTGTAAATTCTCTATGCTATGATGCTATAATGCCCGTAAGGTAAAGAGTTTATACTGTCTATGTAAAAGCGTATATTCTCATAGGCACTAAGCGATTGTTTTGTTTGTTGGATGCTGTATATTTGATGTGCTTTACTTCTTATGCTGTTGAATGTTATAGTGTCGCAACTATTGTTTTTGAGTGTGTCATCATAAGAATTATATGACAGTTCCTTCTTCACTTTATGTTTAACTATTCCTTTGCTTTTCTTTTCTTCTTTCCCTTCGTTATGTATCTTGAAACAGTACGATTTAGGTTTCAATGCTATACAGTTTGTTATAATCTTTCCATCTGCTTCATCCTTGAATTTTCCTAAAACTTTCTTGTTTGTTTTATCATACCATTTGTGTTTAGGGTCATAACCACTGAAATCCATATAATCCTTAATGTCATTAAAGTCATCATATACATCTTCGGTTTTAATATGTAATACAAAACTGTCAGTATCAGTATATAACATTCTTATATTCTTTCTATATTTCGGTTTCATAATGTCATAGTAAAATGAATACATATGTTGTTTTGATAAATCTAAAATACTCATTCCTACATATATTGGTTTATTCAATTTAACTACACTTTTTGCTTTTTCAACTCCTATAAGATTTTCATTGATGATATGTCTGTATTTGAAATTTGGATTATTCACACATTTTTGGTAGCGTTCAGGTGTACCAACCAGCTCAAAGTCAATGTGTTCTCTCACATTTTCCATAGTCTTGCCGTATACAGCGTTGTTCATTAATTTGTACATATCTTTTGAAAAGTCGCTTGTTTCAACCATTGCTTGTGTCTAAATTCTATTACTCTGTTTATTTTCTTGATTTTAAGTCATTGTTTCAAATAAAAGTATAAAATGTCAATATGTAAAAATAATTTTGTTTCTCCATAACATTTAGTATCAACTTGTTTGTTTTCTCATCTTTTGGAGCACTATTAAAATGATATGCTTTGTAGGTTTCTTTCTGATAATCACTAAGCATATCTGCTGATACACTCATAATTTCTGGTGCTAATGGATAATCAGTATGTTTGTCGTGGCATTCTTTCGGATATTCAAAATCAACATCTAAAATATAACCTTTGCTGCTGTAGTTACTGTCGTGATATTTAATGTCTTCTTCTGTGAAATTATCTTTTACAAATCTTATTTTCTTATATGGTAGTTTCTTACACATTGCCAGACCATAAAGATTATTAGCATCTAAATAATTGATGTAGGATGATGGTTTTGTTTCATCATACGTATCTCCCATATACTTATTATTAGCAGTTGTTTTTTTCATTGAAACCTGACACATACCGCCTCTTAGTCCTTGCTCTATCATTTTATAAACTTCTTCATCGTGTAAAAGTTCAAGTTCAATTCCTGTTTTTAATAGCATCGCGTCCCAAGCAAAGTTAGGTAATGTATAATAATGTGCTGGGTCGAATTCATAATCTGTTAGACATTGTTTTCTGAA